TGAACATTATATTGCAGGAGGTTCTGCAGGCTAGGGCTAACTATAGGGTTGCCAGATGGTTTCAACAAAAATACCAGACACGCTTGACATTACATCACAATCTACATTACATCTTATTTAGAAAATACTGGACATTTATATTTTCTCAATTTCTTTCCTGAACAGAAAGCTCAAATACTGGACTGGTTCAAAACCGAACACCTGACAACTCTAGCTAACCAGGCTGGATTTGATTAAAGGGGCAGGTTAACCAGAAGTTTCCTTTGTATGTGTAATTTTAATTCTACAAGTGCTCAATTTTGTATAAAAGAACAAAACAATTAAGAAGTGAGATAAATCAAAACTTATCTTAGCAGGGATTTCCTGTTGTTTCTTGGATAAAATTGGCATCTGAGAAGAGTGAGCTCCTATCCTGCTCACTGTAGTAGTTTGTCAGAACAATATTGTTACATTTATCATATCTTTCATCCTAAAGGATCCTAAAATCCTTGGCAAATTTAAACAAACTGATTTTCAAATATAAGAATCACTTTGCCCTCACAGAAACCCAGCCACTTCTCTGGTACAATAGGGCATCTGTCCAAAGGTACAAAACAACGTTACTAAGGGAGCACGAAGTGAAGATGAATCCTTTTATTCAACTGAAAATACAGGAGCAATATAAGTACAAAGCTACACAAAGAAAGATTTGGCTAAAAGGTTGGGGTTAACCACTGTTTGTAAAGCAAGTAAACATTCTGTTTACAACTAGGATTACTAGAAGAGAACTCAGAAAGTCTAATACTGAAGCAGCCTTTCAGGATTGTGCTGTCAAGAGGATGCCAGAGCTGCTCTTCAACCTCAAAAAAGCAGCTAGCAATGACAATGAAAGGTGAGCAGCTTGCCAGATAACCCAAATATTTGGTGATGCTGGCACATAATTTCTTTGCTAAGTAATGCACTTGTGGAATAAGGTTTTAACAATGCAGAGTTCTCTTTAATCAAGGAGCATCCTCAGAAGTGTGTTAACTGATAGCAAATATCCTTTTCTTCAGTCCCCTCTTTTGCTCATTTTTACATACTCTTTTTTTTGCCTGGCAGACATTTGGTCAACACTTTCAAGTGCAGTCTTCAGTCAAAAGGAAAGCAAATACAGATTGTATCTCCCTTAACCAGGACTCTCTGGTCCGGCAACCAGAGATGTTCCTGGACCATAGAGTCCTGGTATAGGGAGGTCTGGCCACAAGGCAGTAGTGCAGTGAGGGGGCTCACCCGGGAGCTCCATGGGGGAGGAGGGGAACACTGCAGCAGGGAGATTTGAACCAGCAACTGGGCAGTAGCAGGGGCCCGGCAGCAACCACAAAGCTCCAGCCTGACTGTGCAGCTCCGGCCACGGTTGCAGCCAGGGAGCCCTGACCTGGGCCGCGCAGCTTCAGCTCTGGCTGCACAGCTCCAACCCCAGCAGCAGCAGGGTCATCCAGAGCTGGAAGGCTCCAGCCCAGGGAGTGACGGCTGGCCAGGCTGCAGGGGGTGAACAGTGGTGGGGGGTAGGGTGGGGATGAGGGCAGCAGTTTAGCACAGGCCATTAGGGAAGGGACCATCTCCTTATCCAGAACCACTTATCAGGTCCAGAGCATGCCAGACCACAGAGGTCCAGTCTGTAATATCTGGGGGACGGAGGAAGGGGAAGTGAAATAGAGGGACTGGCTAGCAATTTTAAAAGACCAGGTATGGAATTGAGGCACCCATGTTTGCTGTAGGAATAATAATGTAATGTTATGAAGAAGGGAGCAATTACAGAGCAGGGGTTTGGTTACTGTACAATTATGGAGAAATAGAAGAGTGCAATCTGGAAACTAAGAAATAAGCATGTAGGTCAATAACTCTACTGCATTCTGATTAGCCAAGACAATTCTTTTTTCAGTATAATAATTCACCATTTTAATAAAACATTGTTCTTGTGTGGCATGATTATGTGTTGCTGATTACTTTGCAGGACAGAGCCACGGACAGCTTTTCTGCCAGAAATCTCAAAATATTTTAGACAGATAGGTATTTATTAAACCCCATTGTGCGCACTGAACAATTGAAGCAAGCCTATCCTAGCCTTCATCCCTAAAACTTCCCACAGTTGCTATCAGCAGTAGAGCTGTACCAGTTATAGCAACCATGAAAAGCATAGGGAAATAAATAGCTTAGAGAAGGCCAGAGTGCATTCAGTGAGTTAGTGGCAAAATCAGGGAAAGAAACAAGCAGTCTTGACTAAGGTTCGCTCTAAGCTCAGTAACCGAGCAGCTGCCTAATAACCATCATACAGGGGCTCAGGGCTGCCGTGCACAGAAATGCCACAACCAATAGAGAGGCTGCTCTCCTCTGGCTGCAGCAGCAACCTGCTGGCCCTGCTGCAGCAGAAGTATGCCTTTCCTCCAGATTCAGCAGGGAGTTGTGGCAGTGAGGGAAGAGTCAGCTCCTTCAGTGCCAGCAGGGAGTTGATGCAGCTGGGGGAAAGGCACCTTCTCAAAGTTCTCCGGATCTACCTTAGCCAGGAAAGAGGTGCTTTTCCCCCAGACTAACCCAGCCTCAGTGGCAGTTTAAAAATGTCTTGTTTCTCCTCAGAATTGGGATTTATGAAGAGGGATAGAGAAGTTTCTTATCCATTTGTCTTTGCTAGATCAGTTCATAGATTTTTAAAGTCAAAGAGGGGACCATCACGTCCATAGTCTGATCCCCTGAACAATGCTGGTCATAGATTTGTCTCAGTAATTCCTGCATAAAGCCCAATAATTTTTGGCTGAACAGAAGCGTATCTTTTAGAAAGACATTCAATCTTGATTTAAAAGCTTGAGTGATGCATGGAAACCAATATTTAGGGAGGAAATAGCTAGCATTTTTGCAATTCAAAAAAATTAAAATAATTTGGATTTGTGGTTCAGGGATTGGTCAATAACAAATAACAGCAAAATGGAAGGGCAGTTCTTTAGATTTTGTCTACACTACATAGCTATTAGCAACATAGCTGTGTCACTTCAACTGTGGTGCTAGAAGTTGGCCAGAGTAGTTGCTGTTTGTTGGCTCTTTTGCAGAAAAATATTTCTTCCTTTCAACTACCAGGATTGGCTTTGTCGGCAGGAGTGTGATTCACTCTGGCACTTGCCACAGCAAAAGTTTTGGTTTTAAGGTTTTTTTGTTTGTTTTTTTTTTAAAAACACCTCTGATGGACAAAATTTTGTCATTCAATTGCCAGTGTAAAAGGCCTTATATTAAAATAAAAAATCTTAAGGGCCTAACAAGACGTGCCTAGCATCATCCTGACATCTTTTCTTTATGTTGTCTCTATCTGCCCCTTCATTTGTCTTTTTAAGCTATTTAGCTCTGCAGAGATGAGACTGTCTTGTTCTGTGTTTGGATAGTTTTTAGAAGCATAGGCTGTGTCATGCATCATCCATCATGCCCCTGCCATATTTTGAATACTGCTGCAATCAAAATAAAATAATAGATGGGAGACCACTAACAAGGGGAGCTAATTTTTACATGTTTGACAATGTCTTTTTAAGTTCAAATATCAAATTTTATGTCCTGATCCTGAAAACTGTTCCATGGCATGACCCTGGCTGCTCCTAAATGAAGCCATACAGAATTTAAATGTGCAGATTGTGAAATGGTAGCTAATAATGCAAAACTTCCTAAACACTTTAAATCAGAAACATAACTGTGTTGCTTATCATTAAGCAGACACCCTTGCTTATACATTTCTCAGCAACAAAAGGATTATGTTGACAAATGTGTGTTATATTTTGTGTACATGGCTGAAAACCAATTATCAGAAATGCTACTGATATACGTATTATTTTTCCCTTTTCCTGGACAACTTCTAAGCATAAATTGCAGAATTAGGGAGCAAGCTGTATCCCTCAATTAATTGCAGGATTTTATGAAAGACACTATTGTGTTGATACAGGTTACTAAAATCTGCACTGACTCTGCTATCAGATCTGTGCAAATAAACCCCTTGTGACAGATGGATGCAAACACACAATCCCACTGAAGCTAACAGGGCATTGTGTTTGCATCCATCTTGATAGGACTAACTGCTGGATCCAGGTCTTGGACAGTAAAGTCTTCAAAATTGGGATACTGCTTTATTTTGGGAATAAACCGCCACACACCTTAATAGTATTACATAGAAATATTTAATGTTTTATTATTATTCTCACTCTAGAAATCCCTCTTCCTTTCAACACACTATTGTGGTAAGTTGCACTGTCGGTCCACCTGGCTACCATCTTCCATTTCAGAGGATGTTATGGGGTGTGTAGTTGCTGAATGCTCTGATAACCCAGATGCATGAGATATTTCCCAATCACAGCGCTAGTAGCTCTGGTTTCCTTCCCAGGATGTGAGGGCTGAGCCCTCTCCCCCCATTAAGAAAGGGCAGGGGAAAGGCTGGAGCTTAAGGCCCTACGTCCAGCAGAGTTAGTGAACAAAAGGAGTCCTAGTGCTGAATGCTGTGGATACACCAGCTAAGATACCGGGGGTGGTGGAGTCATGACGTCTCCTTAATGAGGCTCATTTACACGGCGCTCTCGCAGGGGTGCTGGGACAATCTGGATCGTGGGGTTTTTGAATCAAACCTCTTCGCGTCAGCACAGGCCCCAGCACCTGCCCAATGGGGCACGGCTGGGGCGGCTCCTGCCCAGTGCAACGTACCCAGGGCTCCTTCCTGCAGTGGCCATTACTAGCGCCGTCGGCATGTCGCTCGTAGCCAAGTGCCTCTTCCAGCCCCCTCCGGGACGGGCTCGCTAGCTCTGACGCACCGGGTCCCGTTGCCGCAGCAGCGGCGGGGCAGCGCAACAGGTACGAGCAGCCAAGAGCAGCCCCGCCCCCCCGCAGCAGGAGGAAACCAGTTCTGGGCGGCGGCAACTTCCCTTCGCCTCAGCTCAGTCACCTTCCTGTGCCCTACTTCGCAACGCGCGCGAGGGGCGGGGGGGGGGACTTAGCGCTGAGCTGTCAGACGGGACTCGTTTCTCGGCGCAGGGATTCCAAGCGCGAGCTGGAGCCCGCCTTTTGCCGGGGGCGGAGCGCCACAGGAGGGTGTGAGGCAGTAGCAGCGTCTCGCGGACCGGGTCAGTCGCAGTAGCTGGACTGCAGGGCTGGTGGCGGTTTAGCGCCTGCCTTGTCTGTGCGCGCGCGCTCATCGCGGAGCCGCCTCACGCCCCGACCCCTCTGGCCGCCGCCTTCCGACTGGGCTGGGTCCGCGTCTCTGAACCGACTTCGTCTGCAGCCTGGAAGCTCCCAATATGAGCGGTGTCGTCTGCGCCGAGAGACACCAGGTACCGTGCGCCGGGGCCAGAAGAGGCCGGGGGCGAGGGAGAGGCCGCGGCAGGGGGGCGGCTTCCGGAGCGACGGTAGCTTTCTCTGAGGCTCCGTGGCTGTTGGACGGGACGCCTGAGGCGCCATGTCAGAGCCCCGCGTGTCTTGGCGCGGGCCGCACAGCCCCGCCCCGACTGGCCGAGGGTGCGGCGCTCTGGCGCCCATCACCTGTAGCGCAGCGTGGCGCGCGCGCGAATGGCGGACCCCGCCGCCGCGCGCGGGTCTTGAGTCCGCCTTCCTCCCGCCTTCTGGCCTCGCCGCTGTGGCGGGCCAGTGGGTCCGCGCCTGTGGGGAGGGGAGGGGAGGAAAGGAGGATAGTGACCGGGAGGTTGGGCGTCGCCTTCCTCGCCACCCTCCGACCCAGTTTCACTGACAAAAGACACGGCGCCTAAAGCCACGTTGTAGCGGGGGAGAAATGAACGTCGTGTCGCAACGTGTCCTCCGCGCTCCGTCTGCAGTGTGGCGGAGGGATGTGGGAACTCCCTCGCCTTTACTCCCTTCCCTGGCGTTTCTTTGTTCCCGACCGGCTCCACGTTGCCGGCTCCCCTGGCCAAGCCCCTGGGATTGAACGGCGGTTCTACCGCAGGGAGCGGGCGTTTCACCCAATCCAGAGTTGACTACATAATGTATGGTTAATGAAGGGACTGGGCCACACTTCTTTGTGGGGTGGAGGTGAGGGGTACGTGGTGAGCTGTCTTCTGGTTTCAGATCAAAAGACTCACATATTTCAAAGTCAGCTCTTATAAATGCGATGCCTTCTTTCAACTTTCATCCCCTTCTTTCTGTAGGATTTGATGGGCAAAGTAGAAAGTTTGAGTGCCACCAGATCTGTCGAGTTTTAGAATTTGCATGGGGGGGGAAAGCAACTTAGGCTTCCAGTGATATTAAAAATATTAAGTGTTGTTTAATATCTGCCTTCATGAAATCCTGTCTAAAATAGGCTTGTACCTTTGAAATTTCCCAGAGTTCAGTTCTACCGATTGTAGTAATGGTTAGAGGGCTAATGTTAACGAGTGTGTCTCAACTGGTGGGTAATGACTTACTGGCACACAGTGTGGCAAGAAAGTCTCATAAGGCATTGAAGATTTTATTACTGCTGAAGCAAAGGAAAACTCCCACTCTCCTACTTCCTGCACATACTTGCTCTTGTAGTCAAGTATTTTGTAAACCATCTCAGATCCATGTGCTTGATATTTTGACTTTATCATAAAGCTGAGTGAGGGGCTTGAATTTTTTTGATTTCATATAAAAGGTTGCCTAACTGAAGTTGTAGAAATTATATTGGTGTATCTGAATGGTCATAACAATATAAGAACTGCTATACTAGGTCAGATTAAAGGTCCATCTCTAGCCCAGTATACTGTCTTCCAACAGTGGCCAGTGCCAGATGCCCCATAATGTCATGTACTCTGAAAAGTGGTAGATTACACAGATAAAATAACAGTGGCCAGTCCGCATTCAGGCTTTGTGCAGTTGCTACTGCCAGCAGAAGCTATCTTTATTAGTAGCAACAGAATTAAATTTTATAAAAAAGCTAGCATATTCACCTATTGTCTGCAAAAGTTCCAGTGTCTCAGTTGCCTTTCATAATTTTCCCATGGTGCAGCAAAGTGAAAACTGATAAATTTTGTCAGTTTCACTGCTGCTTGCCATTCCCATTAGCAGCATACAAACTTAAACAGTTGTAATTGAATGCAACCTGAAATACCTGAGTGATTGGAGGTAATCGCCATAGTTATTTACTGAGGTGAAGGACCCAGAATGGAGGATGTGAAATGGTGGGTTTCTGAAGACTTTTGGAGTGTAGTGTGTGAGAAGTTATTTTCTGCAGCCACAAGGAGGGGCGGATGTCAGACTTCTGCTAGCTGGGAACTACAAAAGGTAAAGCCACCAGACTGTGTTCATTATATTAGCTGATATGTTAAAAACTGTTAATTAGTTTAGATTTTGAGAAACAATATACATCCTCCATGGAAAATTATGGCATTTAGTGTGTTGCTGTATGCAAGACCAATTCATCTGCTTCTTTTCCCAACAAATTGAGGAGAGGATGTAGCTTGGCTTTTTATCTGGCCACTCCTGCGCTTATTAGTGTTCTGGGAAATTTTGCATACATATAAAAGGAGTGAGAATGAATGAGGGAGCTGATATATGGTATTCAAGAGAGAGTTGTTGCGGGGGGAGAGGTCAGGATTCAGAGGTTTTTTTAATGAGAGAAGTAGGAGATGCAGAAAATATAGGAGGTGTAGATTATATAGATATAATGTGGGTGGAAAGAGAAAAGGAAGCATGCTGAAAGCAGTGCATCAAGACTTAGAATGAAGAAAAGGTGGATTAAATAGATGTTTAGAGACATATCTTCAGCTAACTAGTATGGTATATTTAACATGCACAACTCTTACTCTGACAAGGATTGTGGAGGTAGGGGTGAAGAGCAGCAACACAAGGAGGTTGTGGTTTTTTTTTTCTCTATATACAAATATTTTCATGTTGGAGGACAGGATGACATCATCTGGGTGCTCATGTCTCCACCTGACTCTGCCACTTGCTGTGGCCAGCCTCAGCAGGTCCCTTCTGCCATCTGAGTCCTCCCCTCTCCCCATGCTAGGTTCCTTCTGCTGTCTGAGCTCACTGGCTCGCTCTTGCTCTCACAGAACCCTTCTGTGCCGGGGCGCGCGTGCCCCCTCCCCCTCACACACACCCCATGCTGGGTTGCTTCTGCATTCCAAGCCCAACCCCCTTCTTCCGCCAAGACTGCTGCCCTCCTGCCCCAACCCACTCCTGCTCTCTCCCCTCTGGCCAGTCATCCTGCCCCTAGCCTGCTTCTGTACCCTCCTCTACTCTTGCACCCTCCCTCTGGCCAGACATCTACCCCCAGTCTACTCCTGCCTCCTCTTTCTTACCCAGACACCCTGCTTCCCACCTGTTCCTGCATCCTCCCCTGCCCTTGCCCTCTCTTCCTTGGCTGGACACCTACCCCCAGCCTGCTCCAGCACCCTACCTCCCAGCCAGACCTTGCAGCCTCACCCCCTCCTGCATCCTACTTCCTGCCCAGATCTTGTACTCCCAATCCCTATTCCACTCAGTTGCAGCCCTGTCTTGCACACTGAACCCCTCATTTTTTGCCCCACCCCAAAGCATAGGGGGGTCTACAAAATCCAGTAACCCTGGAACCCCAGAAGAGTTAATCGGGCCAGAGGTTGTGAACCTCAGTCCTTCCTTCCCCCTCTCCCTCGATGGGATTGGAGCACCTGGGGAGTGAGGTGTTATACTTGGTGGCCCCAGAGCTGATCTGCAAAGGGAGCCAGGCCTTCTGCAGACTGACTCCCACCTGCCACCCTGCACTGCTGCCTCTGATACAGAGGCAGCAGTATGGAATGGCAGCAGACCCTGTGGGTATGTCTACACTATCCCGCTAGTTTGAACTAGTGGGGGTAATGTAGTCATCCGCTCTTGCAAATGAAGCCCGGGATTTGAATTTCCTGGGCTTCATTTGCATGAAGCCGGCCGGCGCCATTTTTAAATGCCGGCTAGTTCGAACCCATGCCGCGCGGCTACACGCGGCACGGAGTAGCTAGTTCGGATTAGGCTTCTAATCCGAACTAGCTGTACGCCTCGCGGAAGCCTAAT